TTTAATGCCACTTAAATAGATACAAGCAACTATTTTCACCACAGAATCATTCAGTTATCATATTTTTAGATATGTCCAGGCAAGAAATGACACCATAAAAATCATTTATTGATGTCAGTATTCCAGGTCAGGATTGAGCATGAATCAGAATGTTTTAAACCACTTTGGCCATGACTGCCTCAAACGAGTCAGTGGGGGAGAGAGCGGACATCAGAAACAATCTGAGCACCATTAAACTGATTGACCCACTATGAGAAGGTGCTTTTTATAAGACTGAGCTTTTTGCAACTCCTCGGACTGATGAAGTATTTTGGATGAAAGATGAAACGTTTCAACAAAAAGAAACCATCCAGGTGACCTGACTTAACTTTGTTGGATTTTTTTTACCTGGATTATTGAGCATGCATCAGGATAATTATAATTTAATTGTTAGAAATATTATTTTTTGACCAAACATCAAAAAGAAGAGTGTCAATCAACAAGAGTCATCACACTTGAAAAATAATATCTGCATTTTTAAAATAGTTTTTTTTTAATAAAGGCAAAATCCTGTTTTTTTCTCTGGAAGGGACAGAACTTAAAACTTGTCCTGGGATGCTGTTCCTTTTTCTTTTCCAGCTTCATTTCCTGCATAATGTCCACAGAATGTTTTAAAGGAGAACTGGAGCCTCTTGGGTGTATAGATTTAATACATGTCTATTGTTTAGAGGTGGTACTTTCTGAAGCCAGGCAAATATATTTCTTCCTTGAAAAAAGTAAACACTCCTCCCTATCCAGTTTTCATAATTTCAGTGCAGGTGATGAGTTGGCTAAAGATTCAGAGGTCTCTAAGTCCATGTAATTGCTATTGAAATGCAGTTTGTGTAACCTCAGAAAAAAGTAGGAGTCACAATAATGATTGAACAAATACCATCTGCACCATTTTAAAACCAAACTAATAAAAAGTAAAATTAAATTACTGTATATAAAGCAATTGTTGAAAAAAGGTTAAGAATGTATAAATGTCAAAAAAGGGAAAAATCTGTTGTTTCCAAATTTCATGGCGTCAACAAATCCCAAAAAAGTTGGGACAAGTCCATTTTTACCACTGTGTGGCATCCCCCCTTCTTCTTACAACACTCAACAGACGTCTGGGGACAGAGGAGACCAGTTTCTCAAGTTTAGAAATAGGAATGCTCTCCCATTCATGTCTAATACAGGCCTCTAACTGTTCAATCGTCTTGGGCCTTCTTTGTCGCACCTTCCTCTTTATGATTCGCCAAATGTTCTCTATAGGTGAAAGATCTGGACTGCAGGCTGGCCATTTCAGTACCCGGATCCTTCTCCTACGTAGCCATGATGTTGTGATTGCTGCAGAATGTGGTCTGGCATTATCGTGTTGAAAAATGCAGGGTCTTCCCTGAAAGAGATGACGTCTAGATGGGAGCATATGTTGTTCTAGAACCTGAACATAGTTCTCTGCATTAATGGTGCCTTTCCAGACATGCAAGCTGCCCATGCCACAAGCGCTCATGCAACCCCATACCATCAGTGATGCAGGCTTCTGAACGGAGCGTTGATAACAACTTGGGCTATCCTTGTCCTCTCTGGTTAGGATGACATGACGTCCCAGTGTTCCATAAAGAACTTCAAATCGTGACTCATCTGACCACAGAACAGTTTTCCATTTTGCCACACTCCATTTTAAATGACCCCTGGCCCAGTGCAAACGTCTGAGCTTGTGGAGCTTGCTTAGAAATGGCTTCCTCTTTGCACTGTAGAGTTTCAGCTGGCAACGGCGGATGGCACAGTGGATTGTGTTCACTGACAATGCTTTCTGGAAATAATCCTGAGCCCATTCTGTTATTTCCTTGATAGTGGCATTCCTGTTTGAGGTGCAGTGACGTTTAAGGGCCCAGAGATCACAAGCATCCAGTAGAGTTTTACGGCCTTGACCCTTACGCACAGTGATTGTTCCAGATTCTCTGAATCTTTTGATGATGTTATGCACGGTTGATGATGATAACTTAAAAGTATTTGCTATTTTACCCTGGGTAACACCATTCTGGTATTGCTGCACTTTCTTTCTGCGCAACAATGGTGGAGTTGGTGATCCTCTTACCATCTTGGCTTCTGAGAGACACTGACACTCTGAGAAGCTCTTTTTATACCCAATCATGTTGTTAATTGACCTAATTAGTGTTAATTGGTCTTCCAGCTGTTCATTATATGCTCAATTCCCCTTTTCCAGCCACTTATTGCTACTTGTCCCAACTTTTTTGGGATTTGTTGACACTGTGAAATTTTGAATCAACATTTTTCCTTAAAAATGTTACATTTACTCAGATTAAACTTTTGATTTGTCATCTATGTTATATTACGAATAAAATATTGACATTTGCCATCTCCACATCATTGCATTCAGTTTTTATTCACAATTTGTTTAGTGTCCCAACTTTTTTGGAATCCGGTTTGTACATGAACGCTCCTACAAGAACCCTGCAGATGTTGGATGCTGTCTATCATGGTGCACTAAGATTCATAACTGGCTGTGATTATCGTACCCACCACTGCACCCTGTATTCACTGGTTAACTGGACATCATTAACTTCACACAGACTCTCTCACTGGTACATTTTCATCTTTAAATCACTTCTTGGTCTGCTGCATTCATACATCTCCCCCTACATGTCTCTGTGTGAGTGCAGCTACAGCGTGCGCTCTCAGGACATTATTACCTGCAGTGTTCCCTCAGTGAAGACTGAACTTGGCAAAAGGGCCTTCTCCTACTCCGCTCCTGTTTCCTGGAATATCTTGCAAAAAGATCTGAAGCTTTCGACCTTGACCTCTCTATAATTGGCTTTAAAAATCTGTTGGACTCCTGGCAGGGACCAATGCAGACATGTTCCTCTTTTTAGTTTTCTACATTCGCCTTGTAATCTAGCTGTTTTGCTACTTTTTTTTGCCATCTTTTATAATTGTCTATTGTTGTTGCTGTATCTATTTATTTGTATCTATTCATTTTAAGAAATGAGGTCAATTTGTCTTCCATTAGTCTAAGTCTAAGGCATAACAAGCCAACCCTAACTATAGGATTTATCAAAAAGGTAAGTCTTAAGCCCAGTTTTAAAACTGGACAATGTGTCAGCCTCATGGACAGAAACTGGAAGTTGGTTCCACAAGAGGAGTCTGATAACTGTAAGATCTTCCTCTCATTCTGCTTTTGGAAACTCTAGGGACAATGAGTAAGCCTGCAGTCTGAAAGCAAAGTGCTCTGTTAGGAAAATATGGAAGAATAAGATCTGGAATATAAGATGGAGCTAGGTGGTTGAGAGCTTTGTAGGTTAGAAGTAAGATTTTGAATTCTATTCTAGATTTGACAGGGAGCCAGTGGAGAAAAGCTAAAACTGGAGAGATATGATCTCTCCCACTAACTCCAGTTAAGACTCTGGCAGCAGCATTTTGGATCAACTGAAGACGTTTTAAAGAAGTATTTGGACACCCAGATAATAAACCATTGCAATAGTCCAGTCTAGATGTGACAAATGCATGAACCAGTTTTTCTGCATCATTTTTAGATATGTTTCTAATTTTAGCGATATTACGCAGATGGAAGAAGGCGGTTCTAGTAATGTTTTCAGTGCTGGCCCAAGCCTCCATGGGGCCCTAAGGCCCTCGAGGCTCAATGGGATTACCTGTCTAAATAAAGGTTGAATGAATGAAAAAGTGAAATTTGGTTTGGGGCCCTTTATTTCTGCTAATAATGTGGATTACCGCAATCAACAGTCAGATGATCAAAACATTCACCCATCTAACATAAACTCATTGCAACTCTGACGGCCCTGTTGAGACACATTAGATCAACAACAAAAAACAGATAAAATAAGTTGGATGCATATAAATAGCTTAAATTGTGCAAAAACAGACAAAATAAAATAAAATAAAAATAAAATATCAAGGAAATACTTAAATAATGTAAATGAACAATTACTTGAAACCATGTAAAATGGTTTAAAAAAATTATTTAAAGCTGAATAATTAATTCTTAAATCTATGTAAATGTATGCAACATTTGTAAAAGCTGAAATTCAACTATTCAATAAAATCATATAAAAATCATTACAATTTTTTTTGTTTCAATTTCACTTAGGGGGCCCCCATAGTGGCCCCAGGGCCCTAAGCAACTGCTTAGTTTGCTTATGCCTTGGGCCGGCCTTGAACGTTTTTAATGAGGGGATAAAAGACATGTCCTGATCAAAAATAACACCAAGATTTTTAACATTAGAGCTGGAAGTCAGATTAATACCATCCAAGGAGGGCAGAAGACTGAAAAATGTATTCCTAAGATGCTCAGGTCCAAAAAACTAACGCCTCAGTCTTGTCTGTATTAAAAAGCAGAAAATGTAGGGTCATCCAGGTTTTTATGTCTTTAAGACATACTTATAGTCTAAGTAGCTGATTGAATTCATTGGGTTTCATGGATAAATATAATTGTGTATCAAATTTAAGAAGACACGTTTTTGCTGTGTAGTACCTTTTTTGACCAGTTGTAGGCGGCCACCCATAGAAACAATCACCAGCCACCACTGTATCTTAGTCTTTCTACTATATATATAT